CTTATCGCACTTAAGGTTTTTGGAACACTGTTGCTTTAAAAAACAAAGGCATGCCCATATGCGTCTGGCAACATCCACAGCAAAGGCACTGAAGAATTCTGAAGGAGGATTTGCTAAAATTGCCTCCTGTATCATGAGATCTGAATGATGATTGGTCAAATTGCCAATCATGCCTTAGAGCTTCCTTCCTTTCTCCTCCTCCTCCAAGTTTCTACAGGGACCAGAGGCTCTCAGAGGATGCAAAAACAGCACCAAGCAATCATCGTCTGTTATGAGAGCGCATACTTCTTTGCAATACTGTGGAAGAGCTTGCTGTTTCACCACTTGCTATTTGCACAGCCGTGGGATAATAGTGCCATTATTGCACGGTCCTTCCTCTGCAAAACCCATCTCTCTGGATGTCAGTGTTACATTGTGCAGTTTATTTGTATGTCAGCGTTATTGCACAGTCCTTCCTCTGCAAAACCCACCTCTCTGAATGTCAGTGTTAACATAGTGCAGCTGATTTGTATTTGCATTATATCTCCTGGTTCTTGGCACTCCACAGAGCTTAAAGGAATTTGCTGGCTGAAATCTGCCTTTGTTTTGGATCCGCCTGACGTTTTTTATTTCTAACCTGGACGAAGTCACCTTCTGCTTCATTGTCCAAACACATAATTCAATGGGCTTTGGTTAAGCATAACAAGAAAACCACAAGCAGAGCCGCTTGTAAAATCAAAGCAGGTGGTTCCTACCAAGAATTTTTTTTTTAAGAGCCTGAACAGGCTTCCTCAACTTGGTGCCCTCTCTTGGTGTGTTGACTGCACCTCCCATCATCTGCAAGCAGCAGGTAAATTGGCTGTGGATGATGGGAACTGCACACAAATGCATCTGGAGGGCTTCACACTAGGGAAAGTGCAAAATCTCCTGGTTGGCAGGAACAAATCTTGCCAAGAAAACCCCATGATAGGTTTGCTTTAGGGTTGCCATGAGTCAGAAAAAACTTGAAGGCACACAACAACAACAACAACGGATACATGGTAAAACATGGAGCTTACATTAAGAAGTTCTGGGCAGGTTCTCAAACCCCTGGATTACTGCATGTGCATGAACTATTAAGTGCCACTGTGAGCACACCATTAGAATATCTGGGGACTCCTTTGATTCTAGGATTACATAGTTAGCATTACCATAAAACCAGTGCTATGTCTTCCCCAATATCATACCTTCCCAACTGTCCTGGTCTGGTTAATTCCCTACTGTCCCACTTTTTCAGTAAATGTTCCAGTTTCACTTTCCTCTTTCATCCTCATCTTACTTCAGGTGCAGCAAACTGAGTCCAAAGAGTAGAAGTAGTTTGCGTTGAATTAACTCAGCAAGGGGGGAACAGGAAAGCAGAAGATGTCTTGCCTTTTCTAAATTTAATATGTAAATCCCAAGGTTTCTATGCTTAAAATAGTGTTTTGTACATTCTTCCTCATTAATGTATGCATCTGGTTGTCTGGCCACACTCTTTTGACCACACTCTGATGTGGCTTGGCCACACATGTCCCAGTTATTATTTGTGAAATACTGGAGGGTATGCAATATTAAGGGCCTAAATAATACCCTGAAGGCCCCAGATCCTGTCTGATCTTGGAAGCTACATATGATCATGACTCCTTAGTACTTGGATGGTGGACTGCCAAGGAATACTAGTGGCTATATTTCAGAGGAAAACAATGACAAACTACTTTTCAGGGCTCCTCGCCTAAGAAAACCCTATGAAATTCATGCCATTGCCATAGGTCGACAGGCACCTTGAAGGCACATAAACACACAAAACATCCAATATCAGTTATATACTTTTCATTAGGGTGAGAAAAACACATCCTTTCAGATTTACTTGGATTGCAACTCCCATTGGTCCTAGCTGCCAAAATTAACAGCAAGGGATCACAGGAGCTGTACTCCGACCAGCATCATCTGGAGGACTACATATTCCCCACTCCTGCCTTGCATGATATCGACTGCGTTTGTCTCTCACCTCCCACTTGGTCTCTTCAATCTTGGGAAGAAAATCAGCCTGTTCTTTCTTGAAAGCGACAAATTTCTTCTCCAGCTCTTCCCGCTGCTGAAGCAGCTGACCCACATCATCCTGCAGCTTCTTTTTCTCTTGCTGGAGTTTAAAGATCTGGAGTTGCAAAGCTTGTTGGGCCCTCTGAGCTTTCTTGGAGACCTGTTGCAGTTTATTGGCATAATTTTGCCTAAGGTCATCCATCTCACGCTCCCAGATCTTTTGCTTCTCCTCAAAGACCTGGTAAATGGCCGCCTCACTCTTATCCAGATTTCTCCTCATCTGGAGGACCTCCTGCTCCTTCTCCCACAACCTGTCTTCCAAGTCTTGGATAATGTCATCTGTCGAAGGAGAGTGAAAAGGCATTGTTTCATTGAGATGGTTGAGTCTACTGAAGGAAGATGTGCTCTTACTGGAAGACCGCCCACTGTCTGAGGTAGATATCCCATTGTATCCTACAATGTTCTTCTCTCCATAGGTCGTCCCAATGCGGTTTATGTGACTAGTCGAAGCACTCATCGGGCCGACGTGCTGGCTGTAGCCTGTGCCGTAAGTGGGCAAGCTTGTCAAAGAGTTGCGGCCAGAATCGGAGAGTCCGCCCGCTTGGTTGGTAGTCCTGTTAAGGCTGGGCTTCTCCAGGCCACCTTTGACAGTGGAAGGGCTATTGCTGTTGGTGTGATTCAAAGTCTTTCGGTTCTCTGATATTCCATTGTTCTGCGGTGGGCACAGATTCTGCATGGAATGGAAGTTCTTAGGAACTACTGGTTTAAAGGCTGAAGGTCTAACTAAGGGCTCATTGCTCTGCAAGAAAGACAAACAAGGCAACAAATGAAATACCGGTAATATCACCATCATCATTACTGGTGGTGGCAGCTAGAATTCAACATGGGATGTACATCTTCATTAGTCCTATGGACTCTCAGTCTCAGAGGAAGGCAAAGGCAACCTTCCTCTGAACATTTCTTGTCAAGAAAACCTCAGTCAAGAAAACTTAAGTTCACCTTAGGATCACCATAAGTCAGGAATGACTTGAAGGC